GGATCTGATGCCCTCTTCTGGTGTGTCTGAAGACAGCTACAGTGTACACATATACATAATAAATAAATAAATATATTTTTTTAAAAAAGGAAAAGAAAAAACTGCTGGAGGATGCAGCTCATTGGTAAAGCATGTGACCAGCAGGCTGGGAGGTCTGAATTCAATCAACAGCATAGGGTGGGAGGGAGGGAGAGAGGGAGGGAGGGAGGGAGAAAGAAGAATGTCCATCAAATGATGAGCATACAGACAAAATACAGCTTAGCCATGAAGTAGAATGTTATGTGGCCATAAACAGGAATAGAACACTAGGACAAGCTATAAGAATGAACTTTTAGGACTGGAGAGATGGCTCAGTGGTTAAGAACACTGACTGCTCTTCCAGAGGTCCTCAGTTCAATTCCCAGCAACCATCTGCAATGGGGTCTGATGCCCTCTTCTGGTGTGTCTGAGGAGAGCAATGGTGTACATAAAATAAATAAATAAGTCTTTTTTTTTTAATGAACTTTTAAACAATAAATTTATTGAAAGAAGTGACAAGGGCCATGTGTCACATGGTGCATCATAGGAAGCCACTGATGGAGCAGATGAGCTCACAGAGAAGCAAGCAGCAGTAGTGAGCAGTAGTAGCTCACCAGGATGTGGGTGAGGCAGGAGACCTCTGATGGCTTTCTGGAGCTTGTGATCTTACCCCTTGAAACAAGGTTTTCACTACCTTGATAAAATGTTCTAAAATCCACAAGGACGATGGCTGCACTTTACGACTTCAGCTTGTCAGAGCAAACTCTATGATTGGGAACTTTACTTCAGTACAGCCTTGGGAGGCAGTGGGGACACTGCTGAGTGCCTGGCATCCTCAGGCAGTGGGGATACTGCTCCGTGGTACAGTGTTTGTCTGGCATCCTCAGGGCCCTTAGTTTCATTGCCAATACCACAAAAACAAATAACAAAAGTTTTTTTTAAAGCAACACATTATATATGGTAATCTGTTATAAAGCAATCTCTCCCTGGTGGTAACACAGAGAAGTGATTAAAAGGGAATAGTAAGCCCGTATTTATTTAAGAACATGACAAGGACCAACAAGATGTCTCTGCAGGTAAAGGTGCTTGCCACCAAGCCTGACACCAATCTGAGTCCAATCCTCAGGAACCACATAGTGAACGAAGAGACCCAACTTCTACAAGATGTCCTCTGGCCTCAACGCTGTGCCTTGCTAAGTATGGACACAGACAAATAGATAGATAGGAAAGAAGACAGACAGACAGACAGACAGACAGACAGACATTTTTTAAAAAAAATTTAAAGGACATTAGAGCAATAAATAAGCATGAGGGACTGGAGAGAAGGCTCAGTGGTTAAGGACACTGGTTGCTCTTCCAGAGGACCCAGGTTCAAGTCCCAGCACCTACATGATAGCTCCCAGGAGATCCAATGCCCTCTTCTGGCTCTGTGGTCACAGCATGTGGTGCACAGACACAGATGCAGGGAAAACACCCACATCTATAAGTAATTATAAGACATTAAGAAATAATAATGATAAAGCACACCGTACCTCCTTGAATCAGTTGCTGGGCCATAAACAAAGCAGTCGAACCAGTAGAACAGTTATTGTTGACATTAATAACAGGAATGCCAGTCAGTCCCAAACTGTGATAGATAGCCCTCTGCCCACAAGTGGAGTCACCTATAGAGAAACAAAACCTTAACACCCATGGCGTAAAAGTCCAGGAGCTGCACTGTAGCACACCTACGTTGTATTTATTTCACTATTACAACTTGCCCTAGTGTCCTATGCAGGCGACAGTGATGCACTGTGACCTCTGAGTCAGAAACAGCGACAGCACTGTCTCCATTGTGAAAGCAGAAAAAACAGTCACGACAAACATTTATGTGCTTTCTTTCTTTCTTTCTTTCTTTCTTTCTCTTTTGCAGCCACTGATGGAGCAGATGAGCTCACAGAGAAGCAAG